TGAGCTGGTTCACAGCAATGTGGGGGTGATGAGTGAAAGACGGCCCCTTAACCCTCCAAATCTGTACTTGCCATTTTTAAAGAGGCTGCCCTCGTATCCAAAGGACTCTTCAGGCCATGCCTTCTTCTGGCAGTATCCGTGAAGAGCAGGACAAGACGAGATGTGCTGGAAAGGGTCAGAGAGAGGGAACAAACAGGGCAGACCCGCCGGCTGGGAATCCGCTCTCAGGATAGATTTTCTAAGTGGTTCTTGTTTTTCAAAAGTTCTTCCTCTTCTCCACATCAGAACCCACTAAATCTCAAAAATAAACAAATGAAAAAGAGAAGGTTTCCCCTTTTCCCCAGCAGGTCCAGCTATGGAGAAGGGGCGGCAGAGCCAGCCCTTCCAAGGCTGGTGGTTTCCCCTCTGGACTGTGTCTCTGAGACCATGGGACTGAGGCCAGAGAGGACTGCCCGATGGAGAGGTCGCCTTTCCTGTCTTTTCCACTATCCTCACCTGCACCTCCCCCCGCCCTCCCGATCTATAATCTTTCAGTGATTCTTGTCATAACACTGTATGTATTTTCTTGGGTTTTCATAATTTACAATGCCAGAGAATGCTTAACCTTAAACACTTCTTGGAATGATCGCTCTTTCTTACCTTAAATGGTTCAACCCCTTACCTGCTTTACCTTTCCTCAGAGTGAGGTCTAATAGCGTCTCCTTTTAAGAATGTGATAATAAATAATGCTTTCATCTTAAATTACGAGACATCACCCGAAAAAGAGAAGGTTTCCCCCTTTCCCCAGCAGGTCCAGCTATGGAGAAGGGGCGGCAGAGCCAGCCCTTCCAAGGCTGGTGGTTTCCCCTCTGGACTGTGTCTCTGAGACCATGGGACTGAGGCCAGAGAGGACTGCCCGATGGAGAGGTCGCCTTTCCTGTCTTTCCCACTATCCTCACCTGCACACCACTCCCCCGATCTATAATCTCTCAGTGATTCTTGTCATAACACTGTATGTATTTCCTTGGGTTTTCATAATTTACAATGCCAGAGAATGCTTAACCTTAAACACTTCTTGGAACGATCGCTCTTTCTTACCTTAAATGGTTCAACCCCTTATCTGCCTTACCTTTCCTCAGAGTGAGGTCTAATAGCTTCTCCTTATAAGAAGTGTGATAATAAGTAATACTTTCATCTTAAGTTACGAGACATCATCACTTTAAAAGAGTTGGAGCTGAAATTGCTTTCCAAGCATCCCTACAATCACAAAATGAAACCATTTAACTTCAAGGAAAACTAATTTGATTCCGTTCAAATGTTGCTATCTCTCCTTTGGGGAAGAAAAAGACATTTTAATAACCAACTGGAAATTAGCTATTAAAGAATATGGGTACTTTTAAAATGTTGATTAATACTTTTAAAAATATATATTCTTCAGAGAAATAAAAAAAAATTTTTTTTTACAAAATTCCTTCAAGCTAGGCACTTACCCTGTTTTCTCAATTTTAAAACATCTTTCTTCAAAATATAGGGAAACAAAACAATCAGATTATAAGCTTGTTGGGAAGACATAGGAAGTCATATGAAGGGTACTGCTAGACAGGCTGTATGGGGGTTGGTGTCACTTTGAACTGGGAGAGAGGCTGGGGTGGAAATGAAGGTGTGGAAGTGACATTGGGCCCACAGTAGTTGCCAGCCTGCCTGCCACCTTTTTTCTTCAGAATAAAATGAACATAAAGGGGATGGGCTTTTCCACCTGATTGGCCTCCCAATAGGGTAGTTTATGGGTTGGTTCCCTTTTAAAGCACCAGTTGGCCGAGAAGATGCCCCCTTCGGGATGCCCTGAGGACAACTCCAAGTGTTTCCCCAACACTACCAAGCAATTAACTCAATTCTGACACTGTCTACCTGGAAATAGCATTAGATCCCACGGTTAAAGCCTTAGTCCTATAAACCTCCCTCACCCCCTTAGACACCAGTCAGAAGTCCAGGCTGTCACTGGTGCTTCTGACTAATCACCTATATATAGATCAGATGTTCCCAGGGCCCCCTCTTCGGGTTAGATTAACTTGCTTGAGCAGCTCATAGAACTCCAAGGAATGTTTTACAAGAAAATAAGTTTCTTATGAAAAGATATAATTCAGGAACCGACAGATGGAAGAGATGCATAGGGCAAGGTATGTGGGAAGGTGCTAGAACTTCCATGCTCTCTGAGTAAGCCACTCTACCCTAATCTCCACATGTTCACCAACCAGGAATCTCTCTTTGGGTTTTTATGGAGACTTCTTTGCATAGGCATGATTGATTAAACCATTGGTCATTGGTGATTGAATTCAATCTCCAGCCTCTCTCTGTTCCCTGTGAGGGAGTGGTTGGTGGTGTGGTGGGGAGGGAGGAGGGGGGGGCGGGACTTGTAAGTTCAAACCCTCTAATTATGTGATTGGTTTCACTGGTAACCAGCCCCTATCCTTAGGGACTTTCCAGAAATCACCTCATGAACATAAACTCAGGTGTGGTTGAAAGGGTTTCTTATGACTATCAAGAATCTTTATTGCTCTTATTTAGGAAATTCCAAAAGTTTTAGGAGCTCTGTGCCAGGAAATGTGTGTGTGTTATGATATAAACGCTTTTCTTGTGGGTGTGGTCGATATTCGAAAGCCACTGCACTAAAACACCACTAATCTGTCTAAACCTTAGCAAAACCTTAGTATAAGGCATACCTCATTTTATTGTGCTTCACAGATGTTCCATTTTTTTACAAATTGAAGGCAAGATCCTCCACCAGCAAAAAGATTATTACTTACTTTATTTTGATTCTAGCCTTATTGCCATAGTCTGGAACAGTACCCACAACATCTCCAAGGTATGCCTGTAGTTAACAACCTCACTGCAGGTTTTTATTAATGTTGTCCTCAGATCTGCTGTGGATCCTTCCCGTCACATCTCAATCGTACTCAGTGTTGTTCTCCATCAAACGGTTGGCAGAGGACTCTTCCTCTACCCTGACATCAGCTGTCTGACGTGTAGCCACAGGAACATGGGTTGACACAACCAAGTCCATGCCCAGGCATTTCGGGAAGCTCATGAGGTCATTCCATGCATGACAAAATATGTATATTAGAGGGATGTCATCATTTAGTGTAAAAGATAACAAAGTCCCTATCTACACCTTGAGTCACTGTTATTTTTCCATCACTAAGTTGCCATGAAATAAGAGACCCTACAGTCCACCACACTTTCAAAGATCAATAGAATTGGAAAGAGCACAATTCATTTTATCAACAGCAGCAGTTTCACAGTGAGAGAAAGTTTCATTAATAGCAGCGGTTACTCTATATGAAGGCCCTGGATTCATGTTAAGGATCTAAAGATGAATAAGGCTGGGGAGCAGGCATTTCAGGAAGAACTAGAAAAGGATGCAATGGAACATTAGCTGCCATGGTAATTAAATCAACATCATCTAGAAAATGTGAACAAAGAACTGTCTTGGATAGTGTGGTGAAAGTAACTACATTGGTTTGAATCCAGGGATTGGCATTTGCTTCTATATATTAACCGAAATGAAAAATATATCCTAGTCTCTGGTCAACTATATGTAATAGAGGAAATGAAAAATTTAGATTCTTATTGAAATGATATCCTATTTTAAAAGAAAAAATATATCTATAAACTTGGAATGTAAGGTTCCCCTTGTATTTTAGAGCTGAATTAACAAAATGAGTGTCCCAAATACTCCTTTATTTGTTAGCTTCCTTTCTGGATGTGAAACCAGATTCAAGAAGACATCTATGAAAAAGATGGAAGACCCGCGATTTTCTTTCATCTACTGGACATTTTTTTATTGCTGTCCCTGTGGTTGGCATTGTGGATACTAAGGGAACCTTAACTTTGCTGCTAATCCAGGGAGAAGACTATCTTCTTACAGTCAATAGATTGGGAAGCATCTCACTCCCACCTGTTTTGCAAGACTTCCTATCATTTTCTTAGTCTGGGGAAAGCTCATTCTTCAACTTCCAGCTCTAATTTACCAGGAATGTTTATGTCTATTCATTAAATTTTCCTGAACGATTCTTTTGCAAGAGAGCCCTTTCCAAATCTGTCCTTTCTTTTATAGAATGTAAAATAATTCATTTAAACAGAACCTGGCAGGCAGAAGAACTCAAATGATAGCTAATTATCTATTTGCTCGTTATTTGTTAACACTTTTATGATAGGCTCATTGCTACCAATGTTATACCAATTCACTTCCTTGTTAAAATTATATTTTCCTGACATCAAACTGAACAGGAATCTTGCCTCTTTTTGAGGAGTAAATATCTATTATTGTTCTGAAAAAGAGCCACAGCCTTACTGAGGTAGACAGTGCAGAGGGGCCGTGGCAGGATGTTCAGTGACCTTGCCCAAGGGCTCAGCTGGCATGTTGTGTGGCAGGGCTTTGGACCACAACTGGCTTTGGGCCTGCACTGGTAGCCACATTGCACATCCTGAGGAACCAGCTGCTTTAGGAGGTGGAGCGCTAGCACAGACAGGTGATACCGAGCCTGTGAAAGTAGACACCAGACTTACGTCATCTCTGCCTCTAGCTCTTTCTGGCCTCAGGCAGGTCGCAACTTCTCCAGACTTTGATTTCTTACCCAAAAAGAGAAGAAAAGGAATGAAGATATTTTGTCAAATGATCTCTTTATCTTTTAGCTCAGACTCTGAACCGTTTTTTGTGAATCATCAGGAAAGAGGGAGGAGAACAATGTTAATAGCCCATCATTAAGGAAAAGGAATACATGCTTTTCAGGATGAGTTTTCGATGTTCCTAAAGGAATCATGAAGGGCCAACAGTAACAGATCCACAGAATGGTTGGGGAAGATCCAAGAAAGAAAAAGATGAGAAACTGGATATGATGTTCATCTGGAGAAGTAAAAGCAAAATCAATACCAAACAAAGAAATTGGGGGAAAGAAAGATATAGATTTAGGGCTCCCCCACAAATAACATAGAGTATCTTATCAAAATTTCTTTCACTTCAGAATGAAGAAATACTTGAGTGCAGTCATGATGGGGAGAACCTTGAGCAGGAGCAGCCCGACAGTCCTGAAAATCTTTCCCCCGGCAGGTAAGATTGCAGATCCCTTTAGAGAAGTCATTTTAACTCCTTGGGATAGGGGGACAGGGTAGAATATCCTCTATTTTAAATCTCATCACTTATCTTTCCCAGATAAGATCACAGTTATTCTATATACTAATCTTCATTTATCTACCTGAGAACAAAACCCATGGATCTCATAAAAGCAACAAGCAAGAACTGAAAATGACATCTCATAAACCACATTTCCAAGGATACTCAGTGTTTAAAAAAATGAATTATCAAGAAAATAGTAAATGCAAACTATTGTTGGCTATTAACTGAATTATTGATTTAAACCTACTTAAAGGCAATAGGTCCCCAAAAGACACAATTTATACGAACTTAATGCTATTTTTGTCGTACCGAAAGGTGTTGGCAATTCATGTGAATGCTCAGCAGTTCAGTGGAGACCAAAAGCAGAAGGGGAAATTCATTTTTTTAAAATCCTCTCTTTATTTAGAATCCCCATCATTACCTCTGTTCTAGCACTCATCACATTGTTTATAATCACACCATTTGACTTACTGACTTGTGAGTTGTTTTTATTCCCAGGGTCTGTCATGTTTAGCTCTTAACATGCCTCTAAAAAAGTGCCTGTAGAATGAATGAACAAACATCTTTAGGAACGTGCTTTTTGATTAAAGCCAGTATTGATTTAATTAGACTACTTGATATTCTTTCACTTTAAGGTGCACTAGAGGAAACAGGTAGGCTCTTACTGATGGGAATGTATCTTTGAGTCTAAGTAAATGGCTGAACTCAGCATATCTGAAAGTGTGTTTAGTTCTCTTGTTTTTTCAAGTGATGGTATATCTTTTGGGACTTTTCTAACTATTACTACAACCTACCTACTTTTATCATTATAATTTTACTTTTAGAATTATAAATATTATCTTTATAAAAGTATTAGTTAAATAGGCCCTTTAATTGAACTATTAATTTAGTAAATGAATTTGACTAATTAAATAGGTCTAATTAAGTGAATTGTTATATTAATTTACAGTAGGCCATTAAATCATACTTCTAATGAGAACTATAAAGGAAAAGTTACAGCATTTAGTGAAACAAAAATACCTTTGATTCTTGCAAAAGAACTTCGAGAAAAGGCAAAAATAGCTAGTGGATTAAACATAAGACAGAATTTATAAGCCTGTTTTTACCACCAGCTTTGAATACCTTAAAATCACTAATCTTTGCTGCAACAGTTTATATTTTCTGATTCACTTTTGATTTTATACATTTGCATATTTATGCATAACTAATACAAATTTGTTGGGGCTGAAGTTGATAGATACAATATGCTTGGTATATGGTAAGCATTCAGATTTCACCAAATAAATTATAAACTTTTAAGTAGTATAGGTGAAATGTTATGTCAGATAATGTCCATTAGGGTTTTAGTAATTAATCTTCTTTTCATATCTGGATGGCTTGCCAAAATGACATTACTTTATTATATTTGAAAATAATGATTAAAAAAAATAATGATTTTTGAGCACTGTGCAGTCCCTACCTTCAGTTTTAGTTGGAAAAAAAACACATGAAACAAATAGTAGGTAATAGTAATATATGTGATAAGTGTTCATTTACAAGTATACTAGAAGCCCTTTGCACGAAGATTTGCACAATAGGCCTCCCTTCCCCTGGCTGTTGGCACCGGTTTTCCTCTGGCACCCAGGACCCAGGCCTTTGGTCTGGCCGCAGGGGAGAAGCCAAGCCTCTTCCACCATCTTTGTTGGGTTAATTTGCATAGTTGCTCTGATTGGCTGGTGGGTGTAGCAGAGTGACACCAATTTGCATGTTTCTCTTTTATTAGTGTAGATATTTGAGGGGGAGGGTAGGAGATGCTTTATAGAACAGTTAACTTTGAGTTGCCAAGATTTCAGTAGCTACAGGAGAAACAGTGTTTTTGTCAAAGGAAATGAACTTACCCATGTGTCATGAATGAGATTTGTGATGGATAAGAGTGGCAATGGAAAAAATAAAGCTATAGGGAATGAAGAAGGAAAGGAACATTACATAAGGCCTTGGGGAGCAGGTAGAAGAGACTAGACTTGATGCTGGAGGCAGTAAGGAGCCTTGGAGGTCTGGAGCAGAGGATTACCGGAGGGAAAGCTGTGGCTGAGGCTTGTTTCACTGCATCATGTGGTGACTGCAGAGAAACAGCCAGGGAGCACCTATCCTTTCTGATTGTTACAGCGGAATGGATCACCGTGCATATCAAGAGTTCTCTGGTCTGATTCTCATTGCAGCTATGGAGTTCAACTGAAGTCCCACATATAGGTCAAGTTCATTAATTCTTCCAAGTGATCATCATTTGAGTCCAGAGTACAAACACCTCAACCATGCCTTGCAAGTAAAAAGTTCTACTACAACCAAATAATTCAGATAACTTTCAAGTTTTAAAAAAAATATATAGAATGACTCACAGCATATTCTAAGAAGTGAGCAGGAATCGGGTGAAAAGCAGATGAGAACATACTATGTATAAATATGCTGAAGCACCAAACACTCCAAGAGGAACCTGAGAACATTCCTGGCATTACAAGACCAGGGCTAAATTTTAATCTACTTTGAGGTGGCTAAGGATCCTATATAATAAAAGCCTAATATGCTAAGTGTCTGGTCGTCCATTCAACCAATCAAAGTGTAATATGCTAATGATATGCTAAGGCTGCTCAACCACTGGCTATGACATGCCCTCACCACCAGGGGGCAGACGCTCTGATCAGTAGGTTAGCTTGCTGCTAGGGTCGGCCAATCGGGACTGAGCGAGATGGGCCAGACACGCCCTAGAGCCCTCCCATGGTCCTTCCCCAGCTGGCCAACCTTCCGCATCCTTCCCCAGCCGGGATCGTGCACTGGTGGGGTCCCTCAGTCTGGCCTGCACCCTCTCGCAATCCAGGCTGAAGGACTCCCCTCCCCACCCCCAAGTGCACAAATTTCGTGCACCAGGCCTCTAGTATCAAATAAAAGGAAAATATGACCATTTCAAATGGTGTCTTAAGACACTATGGCTACATGTTACTTTAGCCCATCATAAACAATCTGGAATTCCCTCCCTCAGACATTCCAACCTCAGTCATTTAACAAACAAAAGGAGCATTTTTGGGGCTCCAGTGTGCAGAGGACACATCTATCCTAGGCACAGCAGCAAGCTGGAGCAAGACTGTGTACCATAGGCCCCTCTGACATTAAAAAGAACAAGCTGATTAGATATAAACAAATGGTGTTCACACAGGAGTTTAAAAAAACCCTTGTGAAAATACACATCTGCTGACAATTTTCAAGTTGTTTATTGTAAATCACAGATTTATTTTTTTAAAAAAAACACTAATTATTTTAACATATAAGCAAAATTCAAATAATATAAATATTTAACATTTTGGTATCAAATTAATAATATGAAAGAAAAAAAGATGCGAACCAACCAAGAGGTAAAACGTTTTTAGCAATAACACTGTGTACAACCGTCTTCTACCCAAGTGACCGTCCAGGCTGATTGTTTATTTTCCCTTCGTTTATGAGTTTTCAGACAGCCCTGCATTGGAGCACCAAAGTTGTACCTTCCTTTTTAAAAGGCGGGAATCCTTATATTGTATTTACAAATAGTCTTCTCAGTACTTTAAGTCTGATGAAAGAAGCATCTGGCAACTTCCTTCTTATTCAAAAAGGAAGGGCCTTCATATTTCCTGCAAATTTAAATCTGTTCTATTCTCAGCAAAAAGGAAAAAGATGAACACAGTTGAGGAGAGCTCTTTTACAAATAAATAACTGTTTCACAGAGGTACTGCTGTAAACAAATGAGATAGTTTCAATGGCCAGGGAGACGCTGATATTTTCAACCAATGAAAAATTTAGACAGTTACAAGTATAGCTACACAGGGTGTGTATGGCCAAAAGGCAAGCTGTTATATAAAGATGCAACTAATGAAAATTAATTATACGTCTGCTTTGTCAAACTGTGCTTTTATTCTCTCGTTTTTTAAATTGGTCAGAAATTTCAAGCTGTAATCTAAAAACCCCAAATCTACTCTGAAAGGAACTATAAACTACAATGGTTGACACTGTAGTTTTGACATTAGTTAAGAATTCTGAATTATCTCAGCAATCAACATAAACAAGCCTCAATGTTCAAAATAGAGAAAAAGATTTCTGTAAACATTAAAAAGCTACCTGCAAAAAATAATTGTATATGCCATCATCTAGTTGTGTTTACTGAGGATTCTTTTTTTAGTTTTCTTTTGTTTTCCATGTTTCAAACATCATCTAAACGAGAGACTCTTCGTTTTCCCTAACAAGCACCTCTGCAGACAAAGGTTCTATAATCAGTACAACTACTTTTGCTGAAGTCGCTATTTTGGCTTTCAGATGATCCCCCTAATAATAGGCATCACCCCGTTCTTTCTGCAGTGAGGGGAAGCTGTTAGCACCGTGGCCACCTTTCTACCCTGCTTTGTAAAAGAAATGAAACTCCCTCTATTCTATCTCAGCCACATCTCCTTGATTATAAGGGACATATGGCTTTACAAATGCTTTCAATCTCATTCTGACAACTTTCATTCTGACTTCAAGCTTCAAATACTTAAACGTCAAAGATACGTCTAATGGTTGTTTTGATGAAATCGATTTTTTGAAGATACTGTAGTTTTGGTGTGACGTTTAATACTCTCAATTTTAAAAGCTGAAACTGGAACAAAATACTGTGGTTTATGAGACCTGTTGGGGAGGAGTAGGCTAATTTTAGGAACCATTACAATAACTTAGATATTAAGAATTTTATTTTATAATTTATAGAGAAAAGAAGTTTTTAATGTTCTACCTTTCCGTTTGAAGTCTTCATTATATTATGCCTCTATGCAAACTACATTCAAATAACTACCTTAAAAACAGACCAATATTGAATATTTAAGAACTAGTTGAAAAATTCATTGAATTAAAATTAATATCAGCTTATTTGAATAAACAATGATTTCTTCCTACAGAAG